TAGTAGTAGTAGTAGTAGTAGTAGTAGTAGTAGTAGTAGTAGTAGTAGTAGTAGTAGTAGTAGTAGTAGTAGTAGTAGTAGTAGTAGTAGTAGTACCTAGTCAGTAGTCACTGCCAGCGGCGAAGGGAGAGAAGGAGAGAGAGGGGCCGGGGAAAGCAAGCAACTCGCGTTGACCTTCTGATTCGCCTCGGTCTCCATGACTCCATAACCGCCACTGTCAACAGGGCTGGCTGATTCGGAAACACTTGGTATCATCATTCTGCATCGGCGCTGTAGTTTGTAGTTTGTACGGGATTCTTCCTCTCCCCTCTCTCTTCCTCTCCCTCTCGCTCCATCGTGGTCTCTCGTGTTTCTTGTTCCCTCTTTTTTCTTTCTCTTTTTGCCTCTTTTTAAATCCACTCCCCCCGCCCATCCTCTGCCACTCTCGCTTCTTGCTTTCCGATTCTATCTTATTAATTTTAAGTTTTCTTCACATAATGCATATAGAGTTGCTCAGCGGCCCGTCGTATCTGTCCCTAGATCTCCAGATTTTGTCCTTCTAGTTGACTGGGCTATGCATTCTTCTCTCGTCACTCCCATCAATCAGCCTATCACTAGCTCATTGTCTCGGGAAAGCACCTACCAATTGTTCCTGCCAAGTGAGAAGAATATCCTGAAGCAGAAGGGTAGGTCGAGTTCCATTCCAAGTTGAACATTCAACTGGCCGAAGAGCTGAACTGATTGGCTACTTTCACAGGGTCAATCGACTCAATGACTGTTATCAGCATCGTGATGTCCAACCGACGCGGTCAAACCGCGAGGAAGCGGCCTCTACGGCTACCCATCATAGCTCCTAAGGACATAATCACTTCCTCGAACACCACGCTCGATCTTCCCGTGCCTAAGAAACCGTCTGCGAGACAACATCGTCTACGCTTCCCACCCCGGTCCCGGACCGGTTGCTGGTATGCCCCGCCTACCTGAAGCAAGTATCCAGACCTTTTCTAACCCTATCCGATGGGATTCAGGACATGCAGAGTGAGCCTACCCCTCAATTACAACCGATAAAGTCTCCTCCTTACGCCTGCTAATCTTTTTTTCAATTGGGGAAGTAGAGTCGCAAGGGTGAGTTACATAATCTAGTCTTTCTTTCACGTCGACCCATCAGAACAAAAAGAGAAAGAAACAGAAAGGAAAAGAAACGGCCTGAAACATCTCTCTTTCTCATTATCTTATGGTGCATCATTACTGATCAGCCACACAGTCAAATGCGATGAAATCCATCCTCAGTGCAATGTGACTTCCTCCCTCCCCAACTCCCCCTTCCTTACCGACTTTAGGACCTTTCACTATTATGTCGTCGTGGGCGAGACTAACATGTGTTGATCTCCTAGCAATGTGCTCGTCTAGGTCATATCTGTGATTATCGACCACGTCTATGTTTCCGGGATGATACCCGCCGAGTCATGGAGCGAATGCCGGACGTCAAATTGAAGACCAGTGTAGTGTGGGATTGTAAGGCATCCCAATTGGCTTCCGTGTGCCATAGAAACTCGGTACAGCTGGAGTTGAGGGATGGCTAACTTGTGTGCAGCCAGAACAAGCGCCCCGACCGTCCCACTCACCTGCGATATGCTTCCGCCTTTCGTCATGCTTGGTTCGGATGAAGAGCGGGAACGAAAAGCCCAGTCGGCTATCCCCGGGACGTATCATGTTGTTGCTATTCCAGAGAGTTTCTCCCAGCTGCCCGAGTACACGGATGGGGCAGCAGACGCAGATCAATCCACGGTGTCCCTGGACTCGACTGTCATCTCTGAAAGTGACCTGGCTGAGAACGACACGCGGGCCTGCGGCCCAGATGTGGTGATTTTACAAAAATTCCGTGACACAAGAAGGCCCCAGTATTTCCACCGAAGAAGTCCTTCGCAGTCCCCCGAATCCGATCCGGGCAGCTCAATCTTGTCTGTTGCCTCAGGACCTGAACCGATCGCCGATTATACAGGACCTGGTTGGCAGTATGTTTCAGATCATCTCGATCTGGGGCATTACGATTTCATCCTCTTGGATCATTTTCGTCGCGTTGTTTGTGCACAATTGATATGCGGTGTTGGTATAGATAATGGTCATGGCTTGACTGCTGAGTTTCTCGAGCAGGAGGCTGCCAGTTTTCCCCCGGTGAGTTTTCTGCAGTTGCGACATCCACGATACACATTGTCTAATGCCTACATCTTCAGCTCTACCATGCATTGACGGCCATATCCGCACTCAGCCTTGCCCGCCAAGGCAACCATCACAACCTAGATCCTTCTCATTACTACCACCAAACGATATCCACTTTACAGAGTAGAATCCAAAGCAACGAAGATCTCTTATCAGACGGGAGCTTCCTCTCACATTTCTTGCTACTCGTATATGAGGTCGGTACATTCTTCAAGACTCGCACAATCCGATGCGTGCTGATCTGATTTTTTCCAGGTCATGGCTTGCAACGTCGCCAATTCGAGCCTCTGGTCTCATCACGTGTCCCAGTTACTTCATATTTCCTTACTTCGACGGTCGACCCCCGGTCCAGAACCCCTCCCCTTTGTCGTCTGGTGGGTCTGCAACGTGGATCTTTACGCTCTCCTCAGCGGTGCAGGCACAGGAGAGTATGTAAGAGCCGTACTTAACCACCAGTTGCCCCTTGACCTGAAGTCCCTCTTTTATCCCATCGGGCCCGAGGACTCGAGCCTACTCTATGCCGACTACGATGGTATATCTACACTTTCGCGCCTATACTATGATACCATCATACTAGCTATACGCCTGGGGGTTGTTTCTGTTGAGCTAAGAAAGGCAAAGGCGCAGTCCTTTGACCCAAGGTTAAATTCACGCCAACAAGAACTTGGGCATATACGGGAAGCCTTGGCTGGACTTTGGGACCATCCTGAGATTCAGTACATGATCCACAATCAGGCCGGCCTTCCAAGGCGATCGCACGATATGCTTCAGCAGGTTAGCCAACTCTTTCATGCATCTCTTGCCATTTAAGCTTCACGGGCCAGATACTGACAGCTTGTCACTTTCATCAGATTTCCATTCTTTTTCACACTTGCTTCCTCTTCTCCTTCACGAGTGTATATCCTGGGCAACGGCTTGGACCCAGTGCCGCGTCGGAGGAAAGCGTTCACCATCACGCCACGATGATTATCCAGATGTCCTCCATGCTTCTAAGCCGGGATAGTCGGGGCGACAGGCCGTTCATGGTCTTTCCTCTGTTCTTGTCAGGAGCAGTTGCTGCACCGAGCAGTCTCAAGATGATGGCTCTGGAACTGCTTTCTAGACTGGAAGAGACAGACATAGGGTCCAATGCAGCAACGGCGTGCCATATCCTGCAAGTCATTTACGAACGCCAAATCCAGCATTCGAGCTGTGGTGAGCATACACTGGGGTTTAGTTGGGCTGAAGTGCTAGCAGAGCATGGGCTGCAACTGGTCAGTTATAAATGACCACCCGACAAAGTTCTTCTCTTTTCTTGGTGTTCTTGCCATGTCTTTTTATTTTTATTTTTTTCTTTTTTGATAACAAGATATGCGCGTATATATACCCAAATGTGTCTATAGCTGCTCCAGTAAATCATGATGTCCACGAACCAATTGATTTTTTGCTTCGAATGATTTTGTTTTTGTTTTTCAATTTGATTTTCTCACTGGTGTTCAGCTAGGTTCCAAGTTGGGATTCGATAGCATCGATTCGCTGCTCAGTTGCCCCTCCATCGCCGGCGCCGAGTCTGCTGGAGCCAATGATTCGACCGCTGGGCACCACCTCGGCGGCTATCTCAGTCCTTCTCGCATGCTCGCATGCAATAATGCGTCCTGAAATAATCCGTCCGTACTAACTAACTAAATCACTTATGATAAGTTGAAGTAGATTGCGACGCTTGCTGCCTTTTCCTTCCCCGCTTCGACTCCTTTTCCCTATTTCCTTTTCCTTCTCCTTCCTCCCTCTTCTCTCTTCCTCCCCCCCCCTCCCTCTTCGTAGCTCGGGTTTGCCTCAATCCTTTCACTATCCTAGGTCCTGGCTTTGGTTGCCATCAGCACATTCTCCGGCAGCAGTTCATCCTCTCTTCCTTCTACAGTGAGCTTCGCGTTGTGGGTCTTCGTGGCGACGTCTGCGGGCGCATACTTGCCGTTCGATCGGCTAATATCCGATAGAGCTTAAGATACCGAGCGCAGTCAACATCCATCGTCTGTCTCATCTCTCGTCATGAGCGCCGGTGCCAGTCGCCGTCAGGGCAGCCGGTCTCAGGAGGAGCTGTTCCTGACAACCACCACATCGCAGCCATCGCAAACGGAGTCGCCGGTTATTGAGCCACTGCGCATCAACAAACGAGAATCCCCTTCCCCGGCCTCATCGAACGGCATTGTTCTGCCCTATCCGGATGACCGGCAGAGACCCCAACAGGTTCGAACAGCGGGTTCCAGTGGTTCTAGTCCGATCAGCTCAGCAGCGGCATCTTGCGATTCTCCCACTGTTCCGAATCATATCTCCTCGCGGCCTTCAGGGTTTCCTACAGCTTTGCGGCCCCGGGAAGGACGTGAACCCAAGCAGGCAACTCTAGCTGAGCGACGAGGGAACGTCCCAAAGCCGCTCCCTGAATCTCCAAGCGGAGAGTCTCCAGACAGAGAAGGATTATTTGCTAGAATCCACCCCCGCTTTCCGGCTCCTGCAGTGTCAAACGACGGCGCATACCCCCAAAATAGCAGCCCCGAGCAGCAACACACGCTTTACTACCCGCCTCCACAGGCGTCCCCGAGACCAACCGTCTCACAGAATGATCTGCAGCCGAATAGCACAATCAATCGAATCAGCTCCACAGCCTCAAATTCGACGACGCGTGCTCAACGTGGCTCGCCACCGCCACCGGAGACTCCGGTGGTAGAACCTGGACAACATTCGGCATCAGATATCGAGGCTCGATACGCAGCTTCTGGGATAGCCGGGACCTCGACACTAGCAGGCTTGCAAGCACGAAGCGCTGCCGCCCAGAGGAGAGCAGAACAATACGCCGGACAACAGCCTCGAAGTCGACAACCAGCGCCGGAGATTCCGCGGCCGTGGACTCCGACCGAACAACCTGGCACGCAACCTCATGGGCCCCCTACTGTATATCAGGGGGCAGGGGTTGTATCGGATGAGGGTCGTTCAGCACCAAGCAGAGAATCAGAAGAGGCCTCGTACCAGGCTGCGCCGGTTCAGCAACCGACGAGGATCCCCCCAAATGCTCTTGAAAATGACCTTGAGCGCATGCGAATTAGCTCATCCCCCCCGCCCGCCTATTCAAGTGTATCAGGGCCCGCAACCTCACAAGCCTATTCCGCTGAAAAGCAGCGGCCCGTAGCATCGGCGGGACAGCAACCTGTCACAGACGCTCACCCTAACGCTACGAGTCCCACAGGTAGTGCCTCTCATGCCACCGCACCCGTTGCATCCGCTCATCCGGCGTTTGCAAATGATTTGCGACGTCAGGGGTCGCTGGCGGTGTCGCCCGAGGTTGGCGGGCAGGTATTGCTGTCGCAGAACGGTCATCACTCTGTTCTCCAACAAGCTCAGGTGAATACGTTGTCGTCCGCGTCCTCTGGACTTCCACCGGCTTCTCCGCCACCACTACCCGAAGGGTGGATTGCTCACCTGGACTCCAACTCCGGCCAATATTATTACATTCATCTGCCCACTCAATCAACCCAGTGGGAATTTCCCAAAGGGCCAACGCCTTTGAATCTCAATGACACTCCATTGTCCCCGGTAGGCAGCGTGTACAGCAGTCACCCTCTGGCTTCGCCGGTATTCTCGGCATTTGGTAAGCCGCTGACCTCTCCTGGTCTTCCTTTGACCCCAGGATACGAAAGCCTGCAATCTCCTGTTGTGGCAGGGTTTAGTGGGCCTCCTCCAAGTAATGGGATAGATTTGTATAAAGTCGCACCGACCAACGGTGTATACTTTGGCCCGTATCTCCGCTACACCAATATGGATGTCGAGCGAGGCGTTTGGATGGGCTCCATCCTTCTAGTCACCGATGCGGCGCAACCTCCTACAATACATATCCATCAGAGTATTGATCTGTCACCGAATCCACGTCAGTTGAAGGCGACACCTATCGCTGTGCACCAGCGTTGGACCTTCTACAAGTACGAGATTGATCTACAGATGGATGAAACAGGGCCTGCTAAGTGGACCTACGCCATCACGTCCCATTTGGGCTGTACACGGTATGAGTTCCTGATCGCAGGGCGATACGAAACAAGCTGGCGCTTTATTACTACGTCTGGCAACGATTTTTCCTTGAATGTGAATGCGAATGAACGGTCCCGCCTTGGGGGTATAGGGTTCATGTGGAAAGATATCATGCAGAAACATAACGAAATTGGGGGATTCCATGCGCAACTCTGCCTTGGAGGTCAGATCTACGCTGATCGTATGTGGAAGGAGATCTCGTGTCTGAAGCAGTGGCTTGCAATGAGCGGAAAGGAGACGCGAAAAAACGCGCCGTGGACCACAGCCCACGAAGAAGACGTTTCCCATGCGTACTTCCATTATTACACGAGCCATTTTGACCAACCCTATCTACGCGAGTCATTCGCACAGATCCCATATGTCTGCCAGATTGACGATCATGATATGTAAGTGCATTGACGCCACGAACAAACAGCCGCGACTAATGATTCCAGCTTTGACGGATATGGCTCCTACCCGGAGCACATGCAATTCTCGAACATGTTCAAGAATATAGGCCGAATTGGAACGGAGATGTATCTGCTCTTCCAGCATCATACCACTCTGGATCTACTCCGCAGTACCAGGACCGACACCGATCTGTTCACAATAACCGGTACTGGCTGGCATTTTGTGAAATACTTGGGACCCGCTGTAGTCGCCGTTGGGCTAGATTGTCGGTCAGAGCGCAACCCGCACCAGGTCATAGCTGGACCAACATATCAAGGCATCTTTCCTAAAGTGGTAATGCTCCCTGCTAATGTACAACACTGCCTGTGGATGCTCTCGGTACCCATCATCTATCCACGGCTAGAGACAGCAGAACATATAGCACATACGGTTGCAACGGGAAAGAGGGCCGTGACCGGGGCATACAATGTTCTTGGGAAAGTTACCAGCTCCGTAGCCGGTGTGGTCGGAGCCAAGGACGTTGTAGGCTCCGGTTTCAATTCTGTCAAGCGTGCTGTGGGAAAGTCTGGTCTCATGGGCGGAATTCTAAGCCCATTCGGGGAGCTGGATCTATTGGATGAGCTTCGAGACCAATGGACGCACGAATCCAAGGTAGGTGAGCTCCTCACCAGTCGTTCGAAACCGGTCATTAACGAAGGCATACAGGATCTCGAGAGAACCTATCTGATTCGCACCCTTCAGGGTATCTCTCATCAGAAGTCCTTGCGCATGACCTTCCTCTCCGGCGCTGTGAATGCTTGCGGTGCTGGACTAGTGCATGATCCAGCCCATCCGTCAAATCATAAGACAATGTACCAACTAATCTCTTCGCCGGTCGTAAACAGTCCCCCGCCCTCATATGTCATGAAAATGCTTCACAGCAACAACAAGCCCCTCTATATTCCCGCCAACGGCCATCGCTCGACGCCATCACAGCCAACCGACACTAAAGAAGATATGATGGAGATCTTCCAATCCGACGTGACAGGACAAAGTCGTGAGCACCGCAAGCTGATGGGCCGTCGAAATTATGTTGCTATCGTTGCTTATGATCCGGACGCTGTGAACACGATGTATGGACAGGCTATTTCGAACCCTGGGAGTGGCAGATTAAACCTTGCCGCGGATTTCATGGTCCAGGGAGATGGAACCTTTGGGACAGTTGTGAAATACGGACCGGTAATTGTCCCTAGCCTGGAACCTGGAAAGTGAACCGGAGGAGGAATCTATATTTCTCCCAATGCCACCACCCCTCTACCTATGCCCTCAAGTCCTCACTCCATACTGTTGCCTTTGATGGAAGACAAGGTCTGGCCATAACGTTTCTATTTGCGTGGCATAGTTCAAATCAGTAGTGACTAGTAACTATCTGCCATTAGCCGATCATCTTGTATACTAATGTCGCGTCATACACCTTATCCCTGCAATGCTGCTAAGCCACGGTGCCAACAAGAGAGCTGCTGGACCATGAGGCCGGCTATAGTAGGTATCGTCCCAACGGGGCACCGTCACATTCCTGCCTTCGAAATGCCGTGTTACATCCTACCTTCAGTTAATTGAGAACTGGTCAAAGTAGAGTCAAATTTATTTTAGCTAGGCATCCTATGTAGGATAGTCCGGTAGGCCACAGGACAGATTCATTACCAAAGGACCAAGCATGTAGTGTTTCACAAGGGATGTTGACTCAGTAAGGTGTCCGGGACCATTTTTGTATGTGGTTTCACTATCTCACGCCTTCAAATGAGGCATCGACCAAGCTGTGGTGATATTATAAAGGGGAGCTGGATCTTCACGACGATAACATGATGGGACTAAGCAAATGAGAAAGCAGGAAACTCATAGCTCTGGCTAACTACTACGCATGGGTTAGAAAGAGCTAGAGCCAGCAACCTTCCCCCCTGCCGTTCCTCCTCATTCTCCACGTTGACGGCTTGAAGGTATGAATAATGATGCTGTGGACCATCTTGTATATTCCCGGCTTGAGAATGGTGGCGTCATTGGGCTTTTTACAACAAAAGGTTCACTTCCCTGCTGCAGAAGACGTCCAGAGCGAAAAGTCTCGCCAAGGTCGCAATCAAGTAGATTTGGTCATTTTGCTCATATTTGGCGGTAGAATACAGAAACCCACGGGCGTGGTCTTCCGCTTGGCCATCCTCGCATTGGCCAACACTCAAGGAATGTGAACAGTTACTTATTCTTTCTCCCACTTTGAAGCATGCTGATGATGATGTTTTTGTACTATAATCTCGAGGTTCAATTAAGACCAACCTGCTGCACGAGACGCGACTTGAGAGCACAGTAAAGATGATCGCTCAATGTGGCCAGTTCTCACGACCATGCTAGGTTTGTTTCCTGAAAAAAAAAAAAAAAAAAAAAAAAAAAAAAAAAAAGAATGCGCGAAGAATCACCTACAAATTGGCGCTCATCTTAAACAATATCGCCATTATCACCCCTTGCCAGTAGGGTCTCCTCCCGGGATACAAAGCCCCAGTCGCCAGAAGTAGTCTCGATGAGAGAAGAATGGCTCCCATAAATGCAAATGCGATGGGTTCAAATGCCAGTGGATTCGTCGCCATCTTTCAACGCGGAACTGTCCCTCATGCTGTGATCTTGAGACAGAACTTTCAAATGAAGACCCATGCGTTAGCGCCTGTTGTTCCTTCAAATCAGGAGGCGCATTGACACTCTGTGGTCGTACGAGAAGGGAGGACGTTTCGCGAAGTGCAAGCATCAAAGTGCGGTCTGCACCGGATATGCACCGTTCGTCCTTGTTACCCTCGCAGACCTTGACATCAGAGACTGATGGCGGAAGGTCTTCTGTCGCGATGAATATCTCTCCTGCATGCATTTCGTAGCCCCATTCCGCGAGTGGCAAGAGCGGAACAGGGTCGTTGATATGTGTAACCCGGTGGAATCTGTAACGTTCGACGGGAACAGATGCCGCTCCCCTTGGTAGTTCAAACAAATCGGCAAGATACTCCGCAAAACCCTGGTTTCCAACCTTCGGTTCTCCAAATGTTGTCACAGTTGGTTTCCAGCCTCGTAGCTGCATCTCCACACCAGCTAGGGCAGCGACAGCTCCACCCAGGGAGTGGCCAACTAGAGACAGGTCGTAGTCTGGATACTGTAGCCTTGCGGCAGAGACATAGCCCAGGACGACCGAGCGTGTGTTCTGCCAGGACGCCATGAACCCCGCATGGACGGTGCATTTCTCACAATGAAGCGTCCCCGCTCCTGCTCCTGTGTCGTTTCCCGGGTTGTATGGGACGTAGCTTTGCGGATAAGCAGAGAGATCGATTATGGTGTTTGCGATCGAATAGGTGCCACGAAAAGCGACGATGATCCGCTTCGGTGACGGCGGATGGGAAAGGGCGATATAACCGCAGGAGTCCGACAGTAAAGGTCCTGTATTCCATACCTATCAGGTGCGCGCGTTTAGATATAGGCCAACTTCTTCTCCGCATAGGAGACGAGACACCTACTGATAACAGCTCGAATCCTTCCAGGTCGGCGCAGTGACTGAGACACTCGAATGGCTTTCGGAGTCCGGTATTGCCGATACAGTAAGAGACATCAACCACGCGTGCGAGCTGATCCAGCTCAAGAAAAAGGCTATTGGGAATCGAACGCGGAGCTTCATGAAGCGAGATCTGATCAAGTTGGACGGAAGAGACTGTGCGGCGGACAAGCAAGACAAGTGATATAGAGGCTAAGGCGAGAAGAATGTAGAAGAGTCCCTGACGACCCGAATTTATGGCCATGGTAGAGTTCTGGTCCTAGATTTCAGAATCATTGTCATCTATCATTCATGATGCAGCGGTCTGGGAGACCGTCGTGGCCGTATTTGTTCAAGACAATTGCTCGTGACGAGCGGCGAGGCGTGACGTCGAAGAATCCGGGGAAAATTACGACCAGAGTGGATCCGTTATTTAAGGGGTTTACAGTACTACGTTACATGGCCCACTACGGAGTACTCTAAGACAACAGCTTGGAGTTCTGATACAACCAAAACCAAGCCATTATAGTAGGCGGTAAAACTTGTAAATCTTTTAATCTCTGCCCAATAACATACCGATACATAGTACAGTTCAAGCTTTTATTGAAATGCACAATCCAGGTCCGACACAAACAACCAGATTCTATTTACTGAATTCAAGGCGTTTCTAAAGCGACAACTGCCCGTGTCATACATGTAAAATAGCTTCCGAGCGCGGGGCAACAGAGTACTAAGCCAAGGCACCTGGCCCTTCACGTACTATGTATGCATCATCAAATATGTTGACCAAGTGGGACCGTCTATATGGTCCAGACAACGACACGGCCATCAACCCCACTCGCTGTAATTCAGAAAGTTAGTAAGGGTCGTACAGACGAGGGCCGAATTATGGGAAGAGCTCACTGCTGAATCTGCGCAGAACACCATCGATCTCCTCATACACCCTCACGGTACTAATGGTATTCTGATGGGTTGACTTGAGTTGAATATCAGCCTGGGTCTGCCCCTTGAGATCCATCTGACGGAACATGTGCAGAGCGGATTCTTCCCGCGCGGTACCGGCACCCGGCCCTGTCTTGTTCTCCATGGTCCCTGTAAGCTGCCATCCATTCTCGTCGCCGCGAAGACGGTAAGGTTCACAGTCCTACATCGGTGAGTTAGCTTTGAAGTCATGCAATTGCCACGAGACAGTATCTTACGTGACCGGCAGCGATAATTTCGTTTTCTCCATTCCAAATGAGACTTGTAAATGGCAGTAGACGAGTAGTCACGTTCAGCATCGCTCGAGGGGGCTGTTCTGGGGCACTCGGGTAAACGACAGTGACGCTGCTATCATGTCCGGTAAACGCGAGGGCGTTTCCGCTGGGAGAAAATGAGACTCCATGGATCCAGCCTGCGGAGTCATTCAAAAACTCGCCGCAAATGGTATTGAAAGGCAGACGCTCTCCCCAGGCACTCGGCTCCGGACGTGTATCGACGCCTTTGATGAAGCTAGAGAAGACTCTGGCATGAGAATCGGTGGAGCCTGCAGCGAGAAGCACCGAGTTCGGATGCCATGCGAGAGTTGTAATAGTGCTCCGAATCGGTTTCTTCAGATGCTTGGAAATCCACCAGTCGTTCTCCTCTTCGAAATAGCACACGGCGATTACACGGGCACCTGAACCAACGGCAAACTTCTGCTCCGACGGCGACCATCTAACGAAAGTTGCTGCTCGGTTGATGCGGAGTAAAACGAGAGTTGGCTTCCAGCCCGATGAAGTGCGCTCCCATACGTATGCATTTCGATCTGTGTCAATCCCAGTGTTAGCCCGGTACCGAAGCAGAACACAGAAAAAGGAGAGATGAGATACCCTGTGAGCAAGTAACAATACGACCACTATTAGGAGCAATGTCCACGCCAGTCACAGTCTTCTCGTGGCCTTTGAGCTCATCAGTCAGTGAGAACTTGGCACCTGATTTCTGGTAGAGCTCCACATTGTTATCCCGCGCAACCGCAAGTGTTGATTTGTCGGGAGAGAAAGAATGGTCGGCGATCGGATTATGGAAGAGGTGGTGAATTTCAGGAGCAGCCATTGTGACGATTATGACAGGAGGGGCTCTCTACTGTCGGAGCTATTGGGTCGCCGTTGAGGACTCAGGAGAGGAGTGTGTACGTGGAAGTGAGAGAAAGTGGGGGAGGGGAAGATCAGTCTACTACGGAGCATGTGTACTTTACGGATATGCCTAACGATGACGCGGAGGGCCTGGTCCGATTAGATAATATATCACATGACTCCAGATCGCTCAGTCGTTCAGGTGTTAGTGGCTGCGCAGACTTTATTCTCCTTGGTTTTCAATGTTCTACTTGGGCTCAATTTCATACTGTTTTCTTTCCAGTCTAACGCTTTCCTCCTCTTCTTCTCGGTTGGAATCACTACTTGTCAATAATGAGTACGAAAATTATACCTGCACGCGGTGGCGCTCAAAGTAAACCGCCTTTGAGTGGTCTCCCTAATCAAACGTGAGATTACCTGCCACTCATATACGAGACCACAGAGCTGATCCTCCATAGCTTATATTGTACGAACCTACCGGACAAACTTCGGAAACATGATTTGCGACTGTCCCTCTACATGCTTTTCTCCACATACGGCACTGTTCTGGATGTTGTCGCGATGAAAACTGAGAAAATGCGTGGCCAGGCTCATATTGTGTTCAAGGATGTCCAAGCTAGTAC